TCGGTTACTAAAGGAGAAAAGTGTAAGGCCCTTTACTCAACCGGTGGATTATGAACGACCTAATTTGCCCGATTATCCGAGAATAGTGAAGCACCCAATGGACCTAAGCACTATGAAACAGCGGTTGAACCTCAAGTTTTATCATTCCTCTTCGAAGTGCCTGGATGCTATTTTCACTATGTTCCGTAACTGCTATATTTTCAACAAACCTGGTGATGACGTAGTTGCCATGGCAATGAAGCTTGAACAGTTGGCCAGAGAACGCTTGAAATCTGTACCTTCACCCGAAACCGAAATCTGTCCCCAGAAGAACTCCAAGTCTACGAAGCCAGTTCCATCCTTGCGTTCTACTGATGACCCCCTGCACAATCGCCAGATCTGAATCACGTCAAAGGGTTGAATGGAACTTCGTCATCCTCTGAACCGAGCGGTCCAGCCATTCGATCATGTAGTTCCATCGCCGGAAAAAAGGCGTCCAAGAAGAAAATGGAAAACCTCCTTGATGATCTACCTCAAACTCCTCATTCACTCGACGATCCTTCACGCGATTGTCGCCAGATAAAAAAAAGCCAAAGCGTGACTATGAAGAGCGGAAAGTCGCCAAGCGTTTGCGACTATCCGAGGCGCTGAAAGCGTGCAGCAATATATTGAGGGGAATTTATTCACAGCGGTATAGAGACTTGAACCATCTGTTTCTCAACCCAGTTGACACAGAAGCCATGGGTTTACATGATTATCACGACGTCATAAAAAAAGCCATGGACCTCAGTACTGGCAAAACGAAGCTGGTGGCCGGCCAATATCATTCCAAGTACGAGTTTGCCGATGACATCAGGCTGATGTTTAATAACTGCTATAAATACAATGGCGAGGACAGCGACGTAGCGAAAGTTGGGAAGCTTTTACAAGCGATATTTGAGGAAAGTTTTGTCAAAGTACCCGACGATGAATCAGGGGTTGTCCCTTCTCCTGATCGGTCGATTGATCAAAATCTCTATCAGCTGATCCAAAATGCCATAAAAGGACACCAAAGGCTTACTGTTCGGTTCCAGAGGTGCAATGAAGAGTTGTAACGTGGTGCAGCAAACTTGAACTCTATCATCAGCACTCTGAATACTCGAGTTAAACGAACTTCTGCCAATACGGGACAAGTTCCTCAACTCAATTCTGTCCCCCTTGGACAATCTTCGGGTGAGTGTGCGCTCCGTTTCGAATGAATCCTTTGATGACGGGGTTTCTTCCAGGAAGGGTCGTCAATCCCAATCCAAAGCGAAATACCGTCAAACCACAGCTCTCTTAACCTTTACAGTTCCCACACTGAATGCCACCAATGCACCTGGTCATGCGCAGTCCACCGTCCATGGATAGGCGATTGATGAGGAAATGTCCGAGAACAATGTTCGGCCGATGACGGACGATGAGAAACGACAGCTGAGTATTGACATAAATAAGTTACCAGGCGAGAAACTCGGCGGAGTTGTGCAAATTATTCAGCAGCGTGAGCCTTCCCATCGGAATTGCAACCCTGATGAAATAGAAATAGACTTCGAAACACCTCAGCATACTACTTTACGAGAACTAGAAAAGTATTTGAAGTTAGTTCTGCAGGAAGCGAAATCAAGATGTCGCAAGTACGTGAAAAACGGTCCCAATACCGCCAATCGGGGTAAATCGAGAGAAGGGTGTATGAAGGAGAAGACGGAGGAGATTGAAAGTCGACTTCGCGAAATGCGGGGCCCTCCTTCCAGTGCTTCCGGTTTCCACAATTCACATCGTAACAAAAAGCAACACAGCTCCAATAGATTGAGTGCATCGTCCCCAAGTGGGAGTGATTCGGAGAGCACCTCAGACTCAAGTGAGTCTGATTCGTCTGATTCAAAATCCGATAGTGAGTCATGATGACAGAATTTCTCATTATCACAAACTGATTCCCGACCATGCGCTTGTCTCGTCATTACTTCATGTTTCTTTCTGAGACTGTTAACTCGTCACGTTTGTTTTTTGTACTTATCCCCGCCCTACATCTAAGTTTCATATACCTGGCGCCTGGTTTTCCTCTACCATAGGCCTGTAAATTT